TAACCAACTTTCAGTCCCTTACACCCAGGCACTCATCATTTTTGTTGTGTGGTGCTACTGATGCTTCGGAAGAAATAAGGCTCGATAATTTGGTACTCAGTCTGAAATGGTAGCAGGGGTGGAATGTAGTTAATGGCGAAAGAATCAAATTAAATCCTGCAGGTCGAAATTCGCAGAAAGCCTTTATTCTACGCAACCCAGACAAGGTATTTCGGACGAGTTTCCCGTTGGCATCGTGCCAATAACCGCTACGGTAGATACGGCTGCATGTATGTACTCATATATCCATGCAGCACCGCAGCCGCTTCATATCAATCCCTTCGCTTCATATTGTACTTACTTCGCAAATGAAGCGACACGAGTACCAGCATGAGTCGGACGTTTGTGGGCGGTCGGGCGCGGTGGGCGTCCGGGTAGATATGGTGCACCTCGATGGGGCGCTTTGAAAGACACCTCCCTTGGAAAGGGCGCCACATAACCTGCCTAGGGGTGCCGAAATGTCCTACTCAGCATATTAATCTTGTACGTCTTAGGGATCTATCCTGCTACTTGCCTTTGACTTTTTGAACTTCATGGAAATCTCTATTCTTGGGGTTTCTTGTGTTTCTTGTACTTCCTCCTTCTCTTGTTATTGTTTTTCTAGTTGTGGAAGTTGCCCAGTCCACTGTAGAGAAATCTGTAGACGATATAAAGGCCTATTTTGTGCGGTTAAGCAGAGGAGTATGTGCTAGTTGTCTTGCAAGAAGGTTAAAAGAAAGAGCCTCAAATAAGACCTCTCCGTTTTGAGTGAGACGTAAAGATTTGATAAGGTTCTGGTTGAGTGATGAAACTGCAGAGAGAGAGAGTATATAGACAAGCAAGACGACAGCGACAGGTAGCAACGTGGGCGGAGTCACTCGGGCAACCTTGTGCCCTACAGCTACTATTTTACAAATTTCTGCCGTAAAACTTATACAGGGGCCCAGAGTACTGAGTTACTTTTCCTCATGAAGAACAATTAGTCGCGGTTGCCTTTGACAAATATTCTACGGAACTTACTGATATTCCATTTTTCACATTTATTTCAGCGATGAGTCACTAGTCGTGAATCTCTTGGATTTATGGGCAGCTGGACAAGAGACGACTGCAACTACGCTGTCGTGGGCCATGATTTATCTGCTCAAACATCCCGAGGTTTAGACTTCTATAATAGCATCTTTTGCATTCTTTTTTTGTTGAAAAATTCAAATTCAAATTTAGTTCTCAAATTCAGGTTGTTCAAAGAGTAAGAGAAGAACTAGTCACTGCTACGGGGAACTCAAGATCGCTTTCACTTGAAGACAGATCCAACACACCGTATCTCGCCGCTACAATTGCGGTACGATAATAGCTTCTTGCAAGTACATACTTGAAGGCACAGTCCGCGATTGCAAATCAACCAAACGTAAATTTGGGCGGGAAATAGTACCTCCAAAAATTGAGCGTAAAATTAAATGTGTTGGCTCCATTTGGGCAGTACAGTGCCGCTTTGGAATCCTGTTTTCCTAAGCTCATAATTTAGTTGCAAGTCGTGGATCTTACAAGGGAGGTGTTTCAGGTCGTGGCGCGCTTTTTGGAAATTTGTTGCTTGTTGTAGGGGTCCATACAAGGGTCACAAAAATGGGTTTCATTTTTGCTATGCGTTTCTGGGTAGGTCAAAAACTGAGTGAAAAATTTGACAAGAATGGGCGGTTTTAACAACCTTAAGGCTGCGTTTATACTTTGCGGCAGCGTAGCGTAGCGCTTCCAGCGTACGCCAGCGGCAGTGCCGAAGAGAGGATGCATATCGATCTAGCTTCACCAGCGTCACCAGCGGCACGCTGGCGTACGCTAGCGCGCACGCTAGCGCACGCTGGCGTAGCGAGGGCACGGGAAGCATAGCTATCGATCTAGCTTCACCAGCGTTTCTCTGGCGTAGCGAGGGCACGGGAAGCATAGCTATCGATCTAGCTTCACCAGCGTTTCTCGAGCGTAGCGAGGGCACGGGAAGCATAGCTATCGATCTAGCTTCACCAGCGTTTCTCGAGCGTAG